CCTCTCCCCAAAACTGTGAGGAGATTCCAGGAATTGATGAGACTAAAGCCTGTTTCCCAGAGGCAAGATGGTCAAAGGATCTAAAAGGCACGAGAAGAAACACACATTGTCAATAGCCACCAAAAAAATTATTCCTATACTCTAATCATAAAAACAAATTAAAACAGTCCCAAGCTTCTACCTTACAGCCGTCAAAATGATCAAATTAAATTCCCTGGTGATGAGGCTGTGGGCAGAAGGCACGCCATCTACCCACTGGCTCCTGTGAATTGGCACAGTTTTCCTAAGAAATGAATACGGCATTACCCACAATGGTTATCAAGACGTTCATACCCTTTGACCCTGGGATACTGTTACAAAATCTCTGAATCTATTCATAGTCGGGTTTTATCTAGAGGAGCTTAAAAAATTGGAGATAGCCCATACTTCCAATGAACATAGTGGAATGCCATTGTGCTGGGAGAGATAAGAAATACAAAGAAGGCACAGAAACCTGGGAAAGTTCTGGGAGTTCTGCAGAATAGCCCTTGACTAGAAGTTGGGAGAGCTCAATTCTGATCTCTACCCCAAGCTTGCTAGCTAATCCCCCAATCTCTCAGCCTCAGTTTCTTCATCTGTAAAAGTGATAGGATGGGACTAGAGAAAAAAATCTCTTCCAACTCTAAATCCTAATCCTAATTAATGCAGAACATGAAGAATTAATTGAGAGCAACAATTTAATTCAAGTTAAATTCCCACTACCAGTAAGGCCCCCGAGCTGGCCATGAGTGACAAAAATACAAGTCCCTGTCCTCAGAGTGCTTGCTTAGCTGGATATTGAATTTACACTCTGCATAAATTTATGCATAGGTGCAGTGGCCTGGAGTCTGGAAGACCCAAGTCCAAATCTGGCCTCAGAAACTTACTAGCTGTGTAAATCACTTAATTCTGCCTGGGTTTCCTCATCTGTGAAGGGTTGTTATGAAGATTAGATGAGATAATTGTACAGTGCTCCACATGGGGCCTGCCCCTGTGGTAAGCACTATATTAGGTTTTTAAAAAACCAAACATCTGCCTATCAGGTTCCTCAGCTGTAAAATGAGTTAACCTCATTGGGTTGTCGTGAGGATAAAGTGAGGTAACATTCCATAAGGTAGGTGCTGGATAAATGCTTTAGGGCAGCTAAGGGGTGCAGTGGATAGAGGGCCAGACCTGGAGTCAAGGACAACCTGAGTTCAAATCTGGCCTCAGACACTTACTAGCTGGGTGACCCTGGGCAAGTCACTTCACCCTGTTGGCCTCAGTTTCCTCATCTGTCGGATGAGCTGGAGAAAGAAATGGCAAACCACTCCAGTATCTTTGGCAAGAAAACCCCAAATGGGGTCCTGGAGAGTCAGACACAACTGAAAAAAAAGCCAGCCCACAAGAGTATATATGCTTATCCCCTTCCCCCATAGAATCTTAGATATCTCACCCCTAAGCCTTCAGACTTGGGTGGGAGGGAGTGGTGGTCCCAGCCCTCTATACCATTTCCATCTAGTTTGGAGTTCCCTCCCATTTACCCTCGTTTTCTCTTTTCCTGGTTTTTTCACCTCTCCTTTCCCTCAGGCATCAAATTCCATTTTTATTTCCATTTCCATTCCAACTTTTGTGGGGATGTGGAGGGGAAGCTTCTTGGCCGCAGGGACTGTTTGCTTTCACAAAACAAAGGGCTTTGTGAGTTCTAAGAATAATCTCTTGACTGAGGCCTTGACGGGATAAGGGGGCATTTGAGTTTGTCTTTTGGAGAATGGGTAGAAACTATCTGGGTGGAAGATATCCCCTTGCAATCCCTAGGATCATCCGCTCAGAGCTGGAAGGACCCCAGAGGCCATGGAATCCAACTCATGATTTCACAAATGAGCAGAATGAAGCTTCCGGTCAATATGGCAGTAGGTACTCTCAGAATTCTGACTCGGAGTTTCTGTAAGTCTTTGCCTTCTTCATGTTTTTGCAGAACCATAGGATGTCCGAGTCAGAAGGGCCCTCAGATACCATCTAATCCAACCCCCTCATTTTACAGAATGAGAAACCGAGGCCCAGAGATTCATTGACCTGTATAAGGTCATACAGATAGAGCCCAAGATTTGAACTTGGGTCCTTAGTTATAGACACATTGAGTTGGAGGCACCAGTGGGGCATTTAGTTAGTGATGTCCTATCAGTTAATCAGGGCTGTGGGTCTGAGGCTTGAAGAGAGAGTGAGCTCAACTTAAATTCCAGAGGCAGATGGGAGGCAGTAGTACAGGGGAAGGAACAATTCATTTGGAGGCTAAGGAGCCAGGTTCGAGTCAGGCCTCGGATGTTTATAGCGTGGCTGACCTGGGCCTTGGTGAGCTTTGAGATCTTCCTGGCCTCAGTTTCCTCATCTGTAAAATGAGAAGGTTGAGCTGATCGTCTCAGATAGCTTTAGAGAGATGATCCCTCTGTGCAGAGGAGACAGTCAAAGCCGTGGGGGTGCACGGGAGGGTCTAGGAAGAGAAGGAAGAGGAGAGAACTGAGGACAGACCCTTGGGTGCGTCTTAACTTTCCCAGTCAGGGCGAGACTCGGAGGCCTCTTTGCCCACAGCCCCCTGGAGGCCAATCCTGGTCCCTCTGACCTCCAGAAGTCCCTTTCCATGTGGTCACCCCGCAGGCAGGAGGGCCCTGGCATCCAAACCTGTCTGGAATCCTCTTTGGGAGCTGTCACCAGAGCCTGAGGCACACTGCCCCTAGAGGTGGCGAGCCTTCGGCCTTTGAGATTGGACCTGCCGCTGGGCAGAGAGTGAGGCAGCGTCTGGCCCCGAGGGGAGGAGTAGGGGCGGCTGGCAGAAAGAAGGCAGCAGGGGTTTTCTTCAGTTTTCCTTGAGTCCATCCCCTCCCACCACCGCCGGGTCATATTTATTCTGTATGTCCTATGGCGTCTTCTCTCTGCCACGTAGTCTGTGTGACCTTGGTTGAGTCACCTAATCACTGAAGGCAGTTCCTCCCTGGGAATTCCCTACGCTAAGGATCAGACTCGATAGAAACGTCGTCCCTAAACCTGATCCTGCCAGCTTCTTCTTGACTTAGAAAACTTCCTTTGGGGGCAGCTAGGTGGCGCAGTGGCTACAGCACCAGCCCTGGAGTCAGGGGGACCTGAGTTCAAATGTGGCCTCAGACACTTACTAGCTGTGTGACCCTGGGCAAGTCACTTCACCCCCATTGCCTAAAACAACAACAACTTCCCATTAATATTATCTATACTCTATTGGCATTTTCATTTATTTCATTAAGTATTTCCCAATTAGATTTTAATCTGGTTCTGGCCCCAGGAGAGCATTGAGGCTTGACATCTCTGCCCTCCACGATGAAATCCCAGGCCCAGGCCTTATTACCATTGGGTCATGAGCACCGTGAGGGCAGGCATCGTCTTTTGCCTCCTTTTTGTGGCCTCAGAAGGAAAATCTTTTAGGCTCCGAAACGGTTTTGCTTCTGAGTTTCCAAAAAATGCTTTTAGGCCTTGTCTCCACTGCTCGAAGTGGGGGCAATGTATCCTGCAACAGCCTCTTGCCTCCCATGTTCTGAGTGCTTTGAGATCCCTCCAGTAGATTGGGGTAAAGATGGCAACATCATGTAATGGACTGAGGGCTGGGTTCAAGTCCCTTCTCTGACCCTGACTAGCTGTGTGGCCTTGGGCAAGTAGTTTAACCCCTTTGGGCCTTATGTGCAAAATGGAGATTATGATAGTACCTGCCTTCCTGGGTGTTTGTAAAGTATTAAAAGTGCTGGAAAACTACCTACTATTTCTTTAGGAAGAGGGAGGCAGTGGGGCTCAGTGGAACGTGGGCTGGCCCTGGAGTCCGTGCTGGGGTTCAGTCTCCCTGCTGATTCTGACTGCTCGTGTTTCCTCATCTCTAAAATGGGGGTGGGAGGTGTGGAGTAGATGGCTTCTGTGGCCCTTCTGGCTCTGGGTCTCTGAACCTAGCCACGTTTTAGGCGTCTGTCCTTTGTTAGCACTTAATTGTTTCTTAAAAATTAGTCTTGTCTCCCGAGTTGGTCAAGAAACACTCCGTGAGGATCCCCTTTGTGCAGGGCACACATCCTAGAATCCAAGACCTGGGACTGGGCAGGACCTCTGAGGATGCCTACCCCAGTGCCCTTGTGGGAGAGATGAGGAACCTGGGAATAGTAAGTGTGCTGACCATCCTTTGGCCATAAGGACCTAGTGATAAGCCTTCCAGGCTCAGCCCAGGCCCTGCTTCCTCCATGGAGCCTTCCGCCTCATATTACAGGTGAGGAAACTGAGTCCAAGAAGAATTAATCTTGGCCAGGTACGAACAAGTCATAAGTGTCTGCGGTAGAATTTGAAGTCCTCTGACTCCAAAGCCTTTTCTCCTGAAACACAATTACATCTGGAGAAAGTCTGTACGTGTGCTTCCCTTTCCTTCCCCCTCCCACTTTTTCTTTCCTTAATCCCGCCACACACACACACACACACACACACACACACACACACACACACACACACACACCCCTTAAAGCTGAGATCACAGTGTCATATAGACAGGGATCTCTGAGAGGTCATCTAGTCCTTCTCTGCCCACTTTACAAATGAGAAAACTGAGGCCCAGAATCACACAGGCAGTTAGTGTCAAAGGCAGGAATGGATCCCCAAATTCTCCCCACACTGCTGCCTGTTTGTAGCTCAGCCTCAGTGGCTACATATGTCTTCTCCCTCCACACTCCTTGAGAGCAGGGCCAGTTTAAATATGACCTTCCTACACCCCATCTCCCAGTGACCACCTGATCGGCCTTTGGGAGAAGGAATGTATGAGCTCTCCCAAGCCACTGAGGGAGGGCCATCCATGTTGGTGGTCCTGGTACCCCAACTGAAGGGGCACTGTGATGTGGAGGAAATGCCCTGGGGGCTTGGGCCAACGCCAGGAGGTTCAGGGAATGGTTGTGGAACAGAGTTGACCTTCCCCTCCCTTTAACCCCAGCCGCTTCCTTGGAACCCTGCAGGTATGACTCTGGCAAGGATGGCTACATCGACCTGATGGAACTGAAGCTAATGATGGAGAAGCTGGGAGCCCCCCAGACCCACCTGGGCCTCAAGAACATGATCAAGGAGGTGGATGAGGACCTGGACAGCAAGCTCAGCTTCCGGGAGGTATTTGTGCACCCCAGCCCTATCCCAGCCTCCCCGGGTAAAGCCAGGCTGAGTCAGCCAGTCATCCCACCTATGTCTGCTGCGGGCCAGACAATAGAGGCTGGGACAACCCTTAGGAACACGGGAGGAGCGAGTAGAGTAGTGGGCCCTGAGCTGAGCCAGGAAGCTTCTCAAAGGCAGAGTCTGAGGGCACTGTCAACCACAGAATGTGGCCTGTGGACATGCACGAGGTAGGAGGTGGTGTGCCGGGCTCAGGCAGAAAGCTAGTGAGCTGGGGTGTCTGGAGCCCAGAGGCCCAAAAGGGAGCAGTTAGGCTGGGAAGGGAGACTGGCCCACAATGCCTGGCATCCAGGCGCCGAGATCTTTGCTATGTTTGGCAGTCCGATAGGCTTTGGGCTTTCTCATGTTAATAGGTGGCCTCCCCTGGGGTACTCTGGTGTGAAGAGGCTTTTCTTCTGCTGCTCTCGGATTGGCCCCACGGGCCTCCTTGTTTGCCTGGGCCCTGCTCTCCCCAGAACTCCACTTCCCCGGCTCCTGTCCCCATTCTGCTCTGCTTACTTGACCTGGTTCTGTTACTCTGGAAGCCTTTGCCCAAAGACCTCACACTCACTCCCAGAACTCGGAGGGACCGTGTCCTTCCTTCCCCCCCCGCCCACGACTCCCCCCTTGCAGTAAGCTGTTCGTGACTGGCATTCATGATGCCTTGATGGCATCCCCGGGTTACAGAAACTAGAAATGCTGAAACTCCGCAGGTGACCTTGGGCAAGTCACCTCCCTTTCTCTTGGATGAGATGCCCCCGCCAGTCTCTAGATCTATGATCCTGTGACCCTTCCAGGTCACAGGACCTGGGTTCAAATGTTGGCTCTACTACTTACTTTCTTCCGTGGTTTTTCCCTTTTGTTCTGATTCTTCTTTCACAACATGACTAATGTGGACATGTGTTTAATATGATTTTACATGTATAACCTATATCAGATTGCTTGCCATCTTGGTGAAGGGAGGGAGAGGAAAAAATAGGAACTCAAAGTGTTGAAAACAAGAGAGAAAGAAAGGAAGAAAGAAAGAATATATTATAGAGAAAGAAGCCTAGGTTTCTTCCTTTGTAATAGAAAGGATTTGGGCTAATCTAGAGCTAGGACCCAAGGACCTGGATTCCAATCCCACCTCTGACATTTAGTACCTGTGTGACCTTGAATGAGTCACATACATTTTCTAGGCCTCACTTTCCTCTTTGGTAAATAAAGTGAGGGGGCCTCTGAGGTCCCTTGTAACCCCAGGTCTTTGACCCTCCGAACCTGATCAAACTGAGAAGGGAGGCTTGTCAGATGAGACTTTGTGGGGATGGAGGAGGTGGAGCTGTGACTTAAGGGAGCAGAAATAGAGAGGGTGTGGTGGGAGCAAGCTGGCCTCTGCCCAGCAGAGGCCAGTGACCCCAAGCCGGCATTCTCCACCACCTGCCCAGAATTCCCTCAGTCTTGCTCAGTTGCTATATTCAGGCACCCAGGGTGGGAGGGTGAGCAGCTTCTCTCCTTCCTGAATCCGTGGTCTGGTGGTGGTTAGATGCCCAGTTTAGAGCCTTGCCAGTAAACATCAGAGAAGTACAAATCTGGGGGTGGGCGGTGGAGGAAGAAAAATAAGAGACCCTGGGAGGTGGACATTTAAATATCACTAAACACCTTTCTCATGAGAACTCAGTGAGTTCAGTTGTAGTGTGAGCATTATCTCCATTTTTTAGTTTAGAAAACTGAGGTTCCAAGAGGGAAGGTGACTTGTCTAGGGGCACAAGATCTGAGATTTAGAGCTAAAAGAGACCTTAGAGGCCTCCCAGGCTGATCTGTTCGTTTTACAGATGAGGAAACAGCTAAGGTTACATGACTTGCCCAGGGTCACACAGCTAGGAAGTGGCCTGGGTGGGATCGATCTCTCTCTCTCTCTCTCTCTCTCTCTCTTCTCTCTCTCTCTCTTCTCTCTCTCTCTCTCTCTCTTTCTCTTTCTCTCTCTCTCTCTCTCTCTCTCTTTCTCGTTATGAGATTTTGAGTTCCATATTTTTCCCCTCCCTCCCTTTACCAAGATGGCATGCAATCTGATATAGGTTATACATGTATAATCATGTTAAACACATTTACACATTAGTTGTGTTGTGAAAGAAGAATCAGAACAAAAGGGAAAAACCATGAGAAAGGGGGAAAAAAAACAAAAAGAGAATAGTATGCTTCTATCTGCATTCAGACTCCATAGTTCTTAAGTGTGTGGGTAGCATTTTCCATCATGAGTCCTTTGGAATTGTCTTAGATCCTTGCACTGCTGAGAAGAGTTAAGTCTATCAAGGTCAGTCATAGCATAATGTGGCTGTTACTGCGTACAATGTTCTCCTGGTTCTGCTCATTTCACTCAGCATCAGTCCATAACAAGTCTTTCCAGGTTTTTCTGAAGTCCGCCTGCTCATCTTTTCTTATAGCCCAATAGTATTCCATTACATTCATATACTACACCTTGTTCAGTCATTCCCCAATTGATGGGCGTCCTCTCAATTTCCAATTCTTTGCCACTACAAAAAGAGCTGCTATAAATGTTTTTGTACATGTGGGTCCTTTTCCCATTTGTATGATCTCTTTGGGATACGGCCCTAGAAGTGCTATTGCTGGATCAAAGGGCATGCACAGTTTTATAGCCCTTTGGGTATAGTTCCAAATTGCTTTCCAGAATGATTGGATCAATTCACAACTCCACCAACAGTGCATTAGTGTCCCAGTTTTCCCACATCTTCTCCAACATTTATCATTTCCCTTTTTTGTCCTTTTAGCCAATCTGATAGTGTGAAGTGGTACCTCCTTTTAATTTGCATTTCTCTAATCAATAGTGATTTAGAGCATTTTTTTCATATGCCTATAGATACCTGTTCATATCTTTTGGCCATTTATGAATTGGGAAATGACTTATATTATAAATTTGACTCAGTTCTCTATATATTTTAGAAATGAAGCCCTTATCAGAGATGCTGGCTGTAAAAAATTCTTTCCCAGTTTTCTGCTTCCTTCCTAATCTTGGTTGCATTGACTTTGTTTGCGCAAAACCTTTTTAATTTAATGTAATCAAAATGATCTCTGAAATTAAGCATTTCACAGTGTTCTATCTTTTGTTTGGCCATAAATTCTTCTGTTCTCCATAGATCTGACAGGTAAACTCTTCCTTGCTCTTCTAATTTTCTTATGGTATTACCTTTTATGTCTAAATCATTTGCCATCACGACCTTATCTTGGTATACAGTCTGAGGTATTCCAACTCTCAATCTAGTGCTCTAGGGGTGTCAGAGGGTAGACTACACTCTGAAAGCGAGTGCTCATTAGCACCATGGCTAGCTTAATAGATGATGACTTTCCCTTTGCCTCTTTACGCCCACTCCCTCCAGCCCCTCAGTTCTTTCTCAGGCCATCACCAGTGCCCTGGCTGTGCTCTTCTCCCTTCCTCACCTTGACCCCTCAGTTCCACTCTTAACTCTGCCATGCTCACCAATTGTGGGTGTCCTCCCGGGCTCTGCCCTGAGCCTTTCTCTTCTCCCTCTGTGTTGTGTCACTTGGTTTCTTTATTGGCTTCCATGGGTTCAGTTATTGTCAACATGCAGCTGACTCCCAGATCGGTCCTAATCTGTACCTTATGGTACCTCGCTACAGTACCATCCCACCCACTGGACTGCCTGTTGGACTCCTTTCCATGGGGTGCCCCATGGAATTTTCAAACTCAACATGTCCGAAGCCGACCTTGCTATCTTCTCCCTACCCCTACCTTGACCATCCTCCTCCCTGCATCTGAACTTTCTGACGACTGTCTAGGGTGCCACCAGGCCAGTCACTTAGGCCCCCAACATCAGGATTAGAGTGGAGGGAGACTTGAGGCAGGCTATTGTACTAGTCCAGGCCTGAGGGGATGACAGGCCTGCTCCAGAGGAGTGGCAATGTCAAAGGAGAGAGGGGGGTTGTTTGACAGATATTGGCCCAGATGAAGCTGGCCAGAGATGTTGGCCTTGGCAAGATACCTCCTCCTCACTTCCACCCTGAGATTACTTTCCACCTACTCTGCATTTGTCCCAGTTTTTAGCACAATGCCTAGCTCTGAAATGCTCATAGTAAACATTTAACAAGCAATTTTGACTGACCAGCCTTTTAAATTAAGCTCTAATTTAAACCTGCTTCTCCAAAATGAGGACAGCTCCAGGTTCAGAAGCCTTGTGTCCCAGGCTCATCCTTCATTCCCAGCTCCCTGCCAGATATAAGAGTCTGAGTAGGTCGCTTTGGCCTCATTTCCTTATGTGGCAAATGAAAAGTTTTAATGTTATGGTGCCATTTGCATCTTCTTTCTACTATATCTATGTCTATGTCTATGTCTACTTACTGCATATTTCTTAGAGTTAAATTTGTGAATTTGTAAATATTGAGGTGGGGAAGAGAGCTAACTTGGGTTTCCTCACTGGAATCAATCAATAAACATTAAGCACCTACTCTGTGCCAGGCACTGTGCTGAGCACGAGTGATGTAAAATGAGGCAAAAGATAGTCCCTACCCTCAGAGAACTTACAATCTAATGGGGGACACAGCTTGCAAACAAATTTACCAAGTCATCTGTACATTAGAAGCTTCCTTCACTGTGAAAATTTCCCCCCATTCCCACCCCAATAGATTTAGGGGTATGAGAGTCTGTCTCAGATTTAGAGCTTAGAAGTCATCAGACTAAGCCTTCCCCCACCCCAAACCATCTCCCAGAAAGGAGGGGTTCAGACCTATGTCTCATAGTACAAATCCAAGGCTCTTCACTATAGCTCAGTGCTGGATTATTGTGGTCTATTTCTGGTACTTAAATGGACTTTGCCAAAGAATTAAATGAGCTGAAAGCAATTCTACTGTCCTTTATTTGGCCCATTTTACCCCACACAGGCAGTATGATATCATTAGCAGCTAGGGAGCTAGAAGTTTCTAGGCAGAGAAGACAGAGATAGCAGGAGGCA